ATTATTTGAGAACAGTGTTGGGAACCATGATAGGAAGAAACTGAATCCTGTAGCATTGCCCAAGACTAGAGTAATGGATAGGGGAACTAAGAGAGAAGCCAGATGAAATTGAGATAAGAGATAAGAAGAGGACATGAAGTAGGTGAGTGGCCACTGAAAAAACTAGGAAAGGGAAATATGATACACAGCCCAGACTAGGATTTAGCATCAGCACAGGATGGTGTATTTGTGTGTGTGTGTATGTGTGTGTGTGTGTGTGTGAGAATGGCGCCTTAATTTTTGGGCTCCTCCTTCAGGATAATCCCCAAATTTGATAATCATCTATATTAGTTTTCTATTATTGTGTGACAAGTTGCACTAACTTAAAACAACACTCACTTATCTCACAGCTCTCTTGGGCCAAGAATCTAGGGGTGGGTTGAAGCTTGATCCTCTGCTCAAGGTGTCCTAGGGTCAAAACTGAGGTTTTGACTGAGCTGAGCTTTTAGCTGGAGGCTTTGGGGAAGAATCCACTTCCAAGCACATTCAGAGTGTTGGCAGAATGCAGGTTCTCTCGGTTGTAGGACTGTCATTCTGATTTCTTGGGGGTTATAAACTGGGACCGTCCTCAGCTTGTCTTACTCAGCTAAGACAAAAATACCACAAGATGGGCAGTTCAAAAAAACGAATTTATTTTCTCACAGTTCTGGAGTCTGGAAGTCCTTGTCAGAATAACGGTGTGGTCAATTTTTTTGTTTGTTTGTTTCTTTCTTTTTGTTTGTTTGTTTTTTGGAGAGGTTTTTGCTATAGGGCACATGCCCTCGCCAGAAAGACAGAGAGAGACAGGGAGACAGAAAGTGAGAAATCATCCCCAGGGAGGATGGCCACGCCACAATCCCTTCTCCTCTATTCTCCTCTTGGGATCTTGGGCACGCACACACATGCGCCCGGCGTGAGTTTAAGCCACCGGGTCCGGGACTCAAACTGTGGTCGGCTACATGGGAATTCAGTGACATAACCATTACACTAACTGCTGGTCTCCATGGTGTGGTCAAGTTTTGATGAGGGCTCTTTTTCAGGCTTCCAGACAGCCACTCTCTGGCTTTTTCATGGTGTGGGGAAGGCACTGCCTAGTGTCTCTTCTCATAAGGACACTAATTCCATCAGACCAGGACCCCACCAGCATGACCTCACCCAATCCTAATTACCTCCCAAAGACCCCATCTCAAAATACCACTATATTGAGGGTTAGAACTTTATTATATGATTTCAGGGGCTTGGGGGTGGGGAGGTGGTAACAAACATTTGAATCAAGAGCCAGCTCTCAAGGCTACCTGCTTTCTTTCTCATGTGGCCCGCGCATGCCCAAGACATTATTGGCATGTTTAAGCCTCTGGATACTTCAACTCTCTCCACCAGCCAGAGAGAGCTCTCTGCTTTTATAAGGGCTCATGTGACTAGAGAGTGCCTACTTGCATAATCTCCCTCTTTAAAGATCATTTCTACCATCTGTGGTATGATCCTGGGGTGATACCATATTCAGCATTCCAGAGATTAGGCCAACTTGGAGTAGAGGGTGCAATTTTAGAATCTCTGCCTACTGCATCATCTCTTATAAGGAGAAAGTGAAAGAATCAAGGGGATTTTCTTTTCAAGAAAGTATAATTTTATCATGTAATCATTGTCATTGTATGGGACTATAGTTAGATGTGTATGATACCAAGAATAAGAAAATGTTCTATAAATAAAAGTCCTTTAGGAATGCTGTCACTTCTAGACAGAGTGGAAGTTTGGAATGAGAACAGAGTCACTGACAGATTTGGAGTTTGGAACTGACTGCCACTGCTCACAGACTGGATGATCTTAGGCAGGTCAGTGTCCTCATTCCTCTCCTTTCCGGGGTTTTACCAATTGCTGCCAGTAGGTGTCACTTATACAGCTGGAGAGGAGATAAGTTTCGTGAGGCTGATTCCTCAGTCACTGAGCTCTGATCTGGACAGAGACCGTACAGTCCCTGTTGGGGACTGCAGAATGTACAGATCCTCATCCTTGTGGGGAATTCAGAAGCCCAGAGTGATCTTAAAGGAATCCAATTATTCCAAAAGTGTGAACCACACAGTCGTTGAGCATACAGCGTGGAGGCCTATCATGAGCAGAGGCCTGCCATGCCTCAGTCACCAAGAAGAGTAGCCTGGTTTATTTTGGGGGGGAGTGAAGTGACTTTTGCCCTGCAGGCCCCAGCAGTGTAGCTTGACACCCTTCAGACAGGTGGATGGTATGAGCCAAAGCAAAACTGAGGATACTGACTTGATATCACAGGGTCTCAGGAGCAGTAGTAGATTTATTTGTGGGAAAAGCCCCTGAGAGACTTGGCTTTCAAGACCTGGACTTTCCTCACTGTTGTTCTGCACTGGGACAGGTACATGCACTTCAGATACAGCCAGGAACCTAGCACCAAGGGACAGAGCCACTGAGGGCAGGCAGTTTGAGTCTGGTCTGCTTCAGGTAGCTAATAGAATCTAAGTAACTTGCAAAAGACAACCCTTGCCACAAAGAGCTCCCTTCTGAAAGCTGTAGGACACAGACTGAGAAAGAGACAGCATCTTTTCTTTTCTTTTTTTTTTTTGGAGAGGTTTTTGCTATAGGACGCGTGCACTTGCCAGACAGACAGAGACAGACAGAGAGACAGAAATCACCCCCCAGGGGGGATGGCCATGCTGCAATCTCTTCTCCTCCATTCTCCTCTCAGGATCTTGGGCATGCACGCACACACATGTACCCGGCGTGAGTTTAAGCCACCAGGTCCGGGACTCGAACCATGGTAGATTACGTGGGAGTCCAGCGACATAGCCATTACGCTAACTGCTGGTCCCTGAGACAGCATCTTTAAACTGATGCTGATTATCTGTGGTGGTGAAGTAAATGCATGTTGATATGTCCTTTTAGCACTAATTACCAAAATCTCTAAAAGTAACCACATCTCTCAAAGTACAGTAGCTTTACAAACAAATGCTGCTGTGGGGAATAAAGACTTCACAAGTTAAAAGTTACTTATTAACTCATATCATCTCTATACAGAAATCACTGAAGTGTCAACAACATTATGTGGGATATTTAAGTATTTTTTCTTTACTATTTTATTATCTTATTTTAATTTCTTTTATACATTCAATCACTATACATCACTTAGCTTGTAAAGTGAATTCCCCCAACATGAATACACTTCACCCCAGGCCAGTTGAGGATAATATACATGTTAGCATCAACAGACAATAATCCATTTCTGTGTCCCATAAATGTCTAGTCTATTTTTCTCCTTAATATCTTTCCTCACACTCTGCCCCGATTTTTTGGTATTTTTAAAAAACAGAGAAATGTGAAAAATGAGTTAAAAGTGAAATGATTTTATCTTTCTTACCAGGGTTCATGAAAAATTTGGTCTTGAGATTATTCCCAGTAGCTGAGATCTGTAATATATTATAACCTCCTCTAAAAGAGCATTAGAATATGAAGAAGTGTGTGTGGGTGTGTGTGTGTTTTAAATATGTCCAAGCAGCTAGTATAATAACTACATTGAATAGTGCAAGGCTGAGAAAGATGTAAAGCCAGGTGCTGGCTCACCACAGGGATGCGAAGGAAAACCAGGGTGTGTGAACACTCCTGGCCCCAGGCCCTTTCCTCGGCTGACATGTTCTCTAGGAGGGACCTATTCTTTGCACAAGGATCTATTGTCTTTATCAGTGTGTCTCAGCTTATGTTCAAAATGTAAATTCATGAAGTGGTATAAAACCCCATCATCTATCTATCTGTCTGTGTGCACATCTATCCCTTTTTTTAAAATCAGAATTTGGGACCAGCAGTTAGCATAATGGCTATGTCGCTGAACTCCCATGAGGCCGACTGTGGTTCAATTCCTGGACCCGGTCACTTAAACTCACACCGGGCGCATATGCATGCGTGCCCAAGATTCCTAGAGGAGAATGGAGGAGAAGAGATTGCAGCATGGCCATTCCCCCTGGGAGGTGATTTCTCGCTTTATATCTCTCCGTCTCTCTCTGTCTTTATGGCAAGCACACACACCCCATAGCATAAACTTCTCTCCCCCCACCCCCCAAAAAAAAAATTATAATCAGACCCTTTCCCCAGCGAGCCTTGTTTCTGCTCTCTGCAGGACAGGCTTGAGTTTTACTTTTTATCTTAGGACTGTGTTTGGTGATGAAAGAGTTTTCCAGAACTTGAATAGAAACACTAATGGTGTATGGTGTTTTCCAGTTTTTACTGGGCACTGTTACAAGCCTTCTAATAGCTTTTTGAGACAGATGCTGGTATGAGTACCTCACTTTATAAAAAACTGAGGCACAGGGGGTTTAATGACTATCCCAGTCAGGGGAGCATGTACCCTAGCAGGATTCCTATCGAGGGGTTGTGGGCTCCAGACCCAGCATCCTGGGGTCTCTTGCCCTCCCGTCCCTGTCACGGTATGATGGAGCGTGTCACAGAATGGCAATCCAAAAAGAAGTTGCTGACCCTTCACTTGTACAAGATGGATTTTTACCTGTGTCTCCTTCTGCTACCCATTTCAAAGACAGAACTAGTTTTCCAAAGCCTCAGTTTCCTAATTGGTAAAATAGTTCTAGTTCTTTCCATGCTTAAACCTCCTAAAAGATGTTATGAATCTTGAATAAGATAATGTCCTGTACTTGTTAGACTATAATGCATTAACGCATACCAGATATTGTTAGTGTAGTTTTAGCTTATAATTCTACTTCAGTAAAGAAATTAGGTCTAAGTTTTATTTTTTTCTTAACATTGCCATTCTTTATTTTTCCCCCCTTAACATAGTGTCTCACTCTGTTGCAATCCTTCTGCCTTAGTTTCAAGAGTAGCTGGGATTACACGTGCATGCTCCCATGCCTCACTATTTTTTTAAGCATTATTTACTTAATTTTATTTATCATTATTACCTTAATTTGCTATTGGGCATGTGTGCTTACCAGAGAGAGAGAGAAAGTCACAAAAACTCAAGAAATTTTCCTATGGAGGGGAGCATTGGGGTATGCACACCATTAAAAATGATCCTAGAAAGCTTTCTTGTTTGTGTCTAAGATGGTATTTAATTGAAGATCTCTTCTCCCAGGGCTATGCTGACATCCTTTTTCAGCCTCATATATGGGAACATTTTGTGATAAATTCTAAACATATAGAATGAATTCCTTTAGGAGCAGGGGCCAGGGTGAAATATGTTTCCTGGGCTTATTTGTACATGATCACCTTATTTTTACATGATAAAATTCCCTTGTAGCCACTTTTTCCTCCCAGAATATCTGAGAATGTGGGTTACATGGTTGAGTTATAAGAACACTTTAAAAACACAATAAATCAAATCTCATGGCCTGCACGCAAGTGAGAGTCTCAGCAGGTCCAGGACAGAGTGGCCTAGTTGCATAGATTGAGCTTGCTGAGTGTCCCCACCTGGCAGCTACAGAAGACTCATGTGTCCCTTTAGAATGGATAATAGGCCAGGATGCTCAGTCTTAGAAGCAGCCCGAATCCCTGCAGGAACAGCAACAAAAATGACAACCAATTAGATTGGATTCTCCTTTCTTAAACTTAGTCAAATCTCTTTTTGTTTTTGTTTAAGGGAGAAATCAAAATCGTATTCATCTCTCAAAGAAAGACATCCGCTCCAAAAATATTCAGTATTAAATTTGTGTACAAAACACTTTTTTTAGCTGGTGATATATCAAAGAACTGTTTTTGTGGGTTAGCGTTTTCCTTTTCTTCCAAATAAAATAATATGGGAGGCTGTAACTTTTATTCAAATTATTAATTTGTCAGACTCTATACCTTAGCCAATATATTTTATTTAGCTTGTTAAAGTGCCATGAATCTCACTGTAATCCAAATCCTGCTTATACTTCCCGATGTTAACATCATTTATTAATCCTAATGTCCAAAATTATGTACCTCTAAATAACCAACATGTTGGGCCAGCCCTGTGGCCTAGTGGTTAAGGTTAAGGGAGCTGGATCCCACATGGCCAAAGGCCAAACCACAGTTCGAATTCTGGCCCCAGTAGCTTCAAAAACACACTAGGTACATGTGCATGATGGCTTAAATCCTGACAATGGATGGAAAAATGGAAGAGAAGGGATTTCAGCATGAAATCTATTGTACTTTCTCTCCTGAACCTCATCTCTCTTTCTCTCTCTGGTGTCAGCATGTCCTCTCTGGCAATTAAAAAATATATATTAAAAAGTGGGACCAGCAGATGGTGTAATGGTTTTGTTGCTGGACTCCTACGTAGTTAGTCTGTGGTTCAAGTCCCGAATCTGGTGGCTTGAAATTCATGCTGGGCACATGTGTGTATGTTCAAAATCCCAAGAGCAGAATGGAGGAGAAGGGATTGTGGTGTGGCCATCCTCCTGGGGGGTGATTTCTTGCTTTCTGTCTCTGTCTCTGGCGAGTGCACATGCCTTATAGTAAAAGTCTCCAAAAAAAAAAAAAAAAAGGCTAAAAAGAAAAAATATCAGCAGATATTTTATTTATAACAAAAGATGTCCTCTTGGGATCTTGTACTTACTGTAAAAATCACTTAAGAAATAGAAGTGTGAAACTGCCCCAAATGAATCTGTATTATAGGATTTACTGAGTATATATAAATATGATTTTAGTTTTGATGCTAATGTAAAATCAGTCAATCCAGTTTCCCCCCTTACTGCCTTTTCCCCTTGATAAATCAGTCCCTTAAACACTACCGCCTGGTCCTTGATCTGTTCCTCTGTTTCACCTTGCATGATTTCTCTGGATAAATGTTCTGCCTGGTGGACTATTGGCAAGATTATCCCTGGGAATTCCATGAAATGTGGATGCCTTCTCTGTCAAACTCAGTTTATTTAGTGTCAGGGCACTCCTAATTTGTGAGAAACTGCAAATAGTATTTGTATATTCAGTTATGTTGCTAGCTCTTGAAGGCAGGAATATATTTTATACCTCTTTGGGTTCTCATTGCTTATCAAATGTCTTAATAATATAAAGTACTGTATCTTTTTATTTCCTCACTCCTCTCTTCATTGAATTTGTTTTGTTTCTCTCAGACTAACTGTAATAGCTTCTTCAGAACTTTGTCTTTAAATTTCCTTGGAGAGCCTAGAATTAGAGATTTTCAACCTATTAAACTTAACCCTTTATTTTATAACATTTTGCCATACCTAATTTACTATCCTGACAGGAAATTCAAAATTTATGTAACTCATCTATACATATAACTTTTTTAAAAAATAATCTATATTTAAATATCTTAGTATAAAAGAGAAAGGTAAGAAAAGTGATAAACTGTTGTAAATGTCAGCAGGTCAGTACTCTGGCACTATCAAGTATGCTGATAGTCCATGTGTGCTTCCCTTGCTCCACTGTGAATGCACATACCCTTGCCCCAGAGTAACCAATTGTTAAAGGGGGTTGGCAGGTGGTATGGTGGTTAAGGTGCTGGACTCCCACGTGACTGGCCGTGGTTCAAATCTAGCATCTGGCAGCTTGCTTTCTCACTTTCCTTTCTCTCTCTGTGTCTCTTTCTGGTCAAATTAAAATAATAATAATAATAATAACGATGATGACAACAACAAATGGAATTAAATAAATAATTAGTTTAAAAAAATTCGTTATTAAAGTTCTAAACATGGTAAATTACGGTGTTTCCTCAAATTTAATGCTAATTGCATTACTTGAAAAATTTTAAGATCTTAAACTTGTGGGGGACTAGCAGGTGGCATGGTAGTTAAGGCTCTGGACTCCTGCACTTGCAATTAAAGTCCTGGACCTGGCAGCTTGAAAATCACACCAGACGCATGTGCGTGCATGCCCAAAATCCCGAGAGGAAAACGGAGGAAAAGGAACTGTGGCATGGCCACCCCTGGTGGGTGATTTCTCACTTTCCCTCTCTCTGTCTCTGTTTCTCTCTGGTGAGTACATGCACCCTATGACAAAAACCTAAAAAGAAAAACAATAATAATAATAATAGACATTAAACTTGTGCAGAAAAACTTTGTTTATATGTAAAACAGGTTATAAATAAGTTTTTCATCTACATGGGTGTCAAGGAGAGCATATGAAAGTCTACTGGGAGATGGAGCAATTTTTTCTTATGCAGGACAGCTCCATGCTTGCATTAAACTACTTTACCTCATGGCTGTGAAACATCAGAATTACCCTCCCTCGTTACTGGGATGACCAAAAACACCCCCATCAATTTGACTGGTACACAGTAATCACATAATAAATGCTATCATTAGCATAACTATGCTATTATTATAATTATAATGCTCTCTCCCTGCTCTGCACACATACTACTTCTTTCTCTTGTTACCATAGTCCTAAGTGATATGTAATATTAATGTTCCTGTTTTTAACATAAATACAGTACAGGGAAGTGAAGTGACTTGTGTAGGGTCTCCAGTTGGTTCATTGGTGAGGCTGGACTTGAACACTGATCCTCAGAATTCCAACTGGGTATGGTCACCTGGACAATGCTGTCTCAAGCTTTTCTGATTTGCCAGGATGATACTTTTCTTTACATCTCTCTTTAGAAATGATTTGTCAATAGCTTGGAAGCCACTGAGCAGAATAATAAACCTTTCTCTTTTTTTTTCTTTTTTTTTTGGAGAGGTTTTTGCTATAGGGCACGTGTGCACACCAGAAAGACAGAGAGAAACAGAGACAGAAAGCGAGGAATCACCTCTCAAGGGTGATGGCCATGACACAATCCTTTCTCCTCTATTCTCCTCTTGGGATCTTGGGCACACACACACACACACACGCCTGGCGTGAGTTTAAGCTACCGGGTCCAGGACTCAAACCACGGTCAACTACATGGGAGTTCAGCAACATAGCCATTACATTAACTGCTGGTCCCTTTTTTCTTTTTTCTTTTTTTTTTTAATTTTTTTTAAAATAATAAACATTTCTTGACATCCAGAAGCTAAAGTAACATTTTACATGGTGCCAACCCTGCCTACAGCTGCCGGTCCAATGATGAAGATAAAGATGAAAAAGCTACTCTGGGGAACCAGCAGTTAGCGTAATGGCTATGTTGCTGGACTCCCACGTAGTCGACTGCTGTTCGTGTCCCGGACCTGGTGGCTTAAAACTCACGCTGGGCGCGTGTGCGTGCATGCCCAAGATCCCGAGAGGAGAATGGAGGAGAAGGGATTGCAGCGTGACCATCCCCCCTGGGGGGTGATTTCTCGCTTTCTGTCTCTATGTCTCTCTCTTTCTGTCAGGCGAGCGCACGCGCCCTACAGTGAAAATCTCTCCAAAAAAAAAAAAAAAAAAAGCTACTCTGGTCGTAGTGACTTCCCTTCATTTTCAGTGCATTTATCTTGATTCCTTTATGCTCACATCATAAGCTGGGAAAATTGGGTTAGGAGTTTGACTGTTAGGATTTAGTCAACAGTTTATCTTTTAATATTAACTACTTCCTGGGATTATAAACATGTTTGATTTAAAATCATTTAATTCAAAGCTACATTTTTAAGTCTAGTTGTCAACTAAGGTTAATAGTTTCTTTGGTTCCATTTAGAGTAATAAGACTCCCTATGAAAATAAATATTTGGAGGTACAGCTAGAATATGAACAACGGTACTACAAACCTAGTCAGACGTTGGATCACAGAAGTTGCCATCTTCAGTCCATATGTAGTATTGCTCTTGGCACATGGCAAAGTTTTAGTAAGATGGAAGTTTTCGGGAGCAGGAAAATAGTAAACATCTGCCGAAGTGAATTATGAAACAAAAAATTGTATTTACTGAAAATGTTTGTGCTTTTTAATTACCTGATCATTTTAATGCTCACTATTTCTGAGCTATGTGAAAAGTCTAATATCTTGACATTTACATTGGAGCTCACATTCCTGGAGTAGAAGTAGGAGGGTGTCCCTGTCCCTTATTTTCTTTTGCATTCAAGGATGAGTCTTTTTTTAAAAAAAATCTCTGTAAGGTCATCTGGTAATTTTTTTTAAACTGAATTGCTGTGAGAAAGTATACAGGCTCATCTGCTGATGCAGAGTCTGTGCCAAAAATATCTTTGGAATAACAACAGCAAAATTCATGAGATTCCTCTGAGTTTTGCTCTGTTCCCTGAATGCTGGCTTTTTGAAAGATCTATGGGCAGCCACAGGCACAGCTAGAATTAGGCACAGCCAGAATTCACCATCTGCTGCTACTCTTAGAGTAGAAGGAGATGATGATAATTTTTAATGTAATTAATTATTCATCATTTGACATTTATTGTGACTCCACAGTCTTAATTTTGCTCTTGGAACTCATGGTATAAATTAAACAGATATAAGAAACAGAACTGGAACCAGAAGAAATGTCTCTCTCCTTAAAAAACAAAAAAACAAAACAAAAAAGAGCTAGATTTGAGCAAACAATTTATAGCGAACTTTACTTAAGACTTATTTTGTGTCTTGTGTTAGAGGTACAATGGGTAGATGATACATTCAAGTTTAAAAAATGTGTAACATTAATGTCTTTGCATGGCCCTGACACTTTAACTAGAATCCTTTATATGAGAACAGAAGTATAAATGTAGACCTTTTCTGTGAGGAATACCTATATTTCATTCAATAGAAATAAAATTAGATTAATATAATTTGAGCATTGAAAAAGGACCTTGAAGTAGCCTAATGAGTGAAACACTATGAACACTCAGCCCATGTGTGTTCAGCTTCTGCTAAAATACCTCCCATGGCAGGAACCTCATTACCTCCAGAGAAATTAGCCCATTCAACATACTGACTGAGCACCTACTGTGTGCCTGATATTGCAGAGTTTGCATCTAGCCAGAGGTTTTAGACAATAAAAAATAAAATACAGTAAGTAAATTATATATGAATATGCCAGGAATAGACATTGGTTTTACAATGGGGAACAAGGTGAGTATTGTCCCTACTTCTTTTGTCACTTAAGATGTACCAAGGAAAGCTGTTGTTAAATAAGTAAACAAATATTTGAGTTTAAATTGTGATATGTGCTATGAGGTGAATGAACACATAAGTTAAAAAAAAGAGGCACTCTACTTTTGATAAGCATTTTGGGGAAGGGGAGCCAAAGTATAGAGCTTGGCCCTTAATCAGAAATACAACATTAATTTTTATACTTGGTACATTTTTCTCCCCAACCTCAACAGTTGATAGGAGAGATCATGGCCCTCACCTTCACATTGTTCCCAAATGTGATAGCCATGACACCTCTGGTTTCATCCATTTCGTTTATTAAACTAACAGATCAGAACAGTACTACTGTCTTCATAGAAATAACAATAATACACATTAGCTACATGTAGCTAACAATCTAGACATCATATGCAAACTGACACTCTAATTAGAAATATGAATAAGGGGCTGGCTTCTTGGCCTGGTGGTTTTGACTGCGTATGAAGCTTAAGTCACGGACCCAGTGACTTGAGAAACACAGTAGCATGAGTATGTGTCATGAAAGGAGGGAGAGATGAAGAAGGGATTGCAGTGTAGTCATTCTCCAATGGGGGTGGTGCTTTCTCCTCTAACCATCTCTCTTTCTGTCTCTGGTGAGCACATATGGTGAGCCTTGTGGTGAAAAAAATAATAATAATAATAAAGCAATATGAATAAGATTAAAGCTGCTTCTTCTTAAATTGTCTATATCACTAGCCAAAGACTTAAATGTTCCTCAAGTTGTGCCACATTTATTACAAAAGGCCTTTCAAGTTGTCTGCCTGATGGTTCTTAAAAGGTCAAGTCCATTTAAAGTGTTTCAGTCATAATAAGGGAAATGGAAGTTGTTTTCAATCTAACCAGGAAGAACACCATTTGCAAAACAGAATGCCTGCGATATACAGTGCCAAGACTCAAAGGTGATGTCCATCAACTCCTTGTAAATGGACCTAACCTGCCTGTGCAGGCCCACTCCAGCTCACTTCAGAAACCTGAGTTAGCATGGGTCTACAGCCAGAACTTACCCTGACCGCTCCAGGCTGCCCTCTCTCTTCTCACCTTGGGTATCCTTGGCTTTAAGAGCCAGTTCTGCACTCTCTGGCCTAGCTCAATCTGGTCTCCCACATTTGTTCTTAGCTAACACACTCAATGTTTGGATAAAATTTACCTCAGGTCTCTCAGCTTCCAGTCTTTCTAGTTGGTTTGGGGGGAGCTTAATCAAATTCAGAAAACTGAGGATTGAGCAAATCATCCAGCAGCATATGTCAACCTTGACAGGGATACCTACCCAGAGGTTGTAAGGAGAGCAGTGGAAAAAAATGAAATGTTTTCAAAGATAGTGAAGCCTGACCTTTAATTTAGCATGGACCATAGCTTGTCAAGGTTCATGTGTCAGGAGCAGAAAGGCATTGTTATAAGCATTTGTTAATGTAGATGTTATTTGACATTAGGTAAAGTGTGGATTTGATACATTATTTACACTGTATGTATAAAGTAGGTCACGTTGCAACAAAATTCATTCATTCATTCATTCATTCATTCAGTATTCCTAAAGCATCTGTCACATCTAGATATTGTCCTGGGTACTTAAATTACTGTAGGGAATAAAACAGATGCAGCCCCTGCCCTTTCAGATCTTATGTTCTAGTGGGAGTGGGGGACAGATAATGAACATGTGAGTAAGTATTATTCAGAGAGTGAAACATGCTTTGAATGAAATAAAGCAAGGAAATGAGGTTACAGTGACAGGAGCATGAAGTTTTACCTTCTATCTGGTGCTCAGGGAATATTTTGCTAATAGGCAGAGATCTGAAGAAAGAGAAGGAGCAAATCATGTGGATATCTGGGGAGAGGGAGTTAGGCAGAAAAAAGAACACGTACAAAGACCTTGGGGTTTGCTTGCTCGAGGAATAGCAAGGCCTTGTGACTGGTGTGGATCCAGTGCCTATTCTTCACTGCTGGTAGTCCAGAAGTTATAATAATGAATCAGATTTTTCTTTGCTACACTTGCCATATTTTGTTGTGATTGTTAACTAAAAGTACATGAGAAACAGGATTTTTTTTTGTCCTACTAAGTCTGTGTTCTTAGTTGGCTGAGGAGTTAGAGAGTGTGTATGTGTGTGTGTGTGTGTGTGTGCGCATGTGTGTATAGGTATATACACACACTCATGCACAGTCTGTTTAATGAAATAGTAAGGATAGAAGTTGAGGAATACAGTTTATGTTTGTATGTGAGAGTGCGAGAGTTAGTAGTTTGCCTGATACACAATTCGTTGAGGTCTATTACGCAATCTGTAATTAGCAATCAGTCCAACAAGTGCTATTATTTTCATCTCCAAGTAAAGCACAGGAGTTGGGAAAGGACCAGAGTAGTTTGAAATTTGAATCAAAAGTCATTCTTTGCAGATTTTCTCACACCTGTCTCACATTTAACTACTGCAGGAGCCATCCTATTGGTGATGAATGATTTCATAAGCAAACCCTGGGGTGAGTTTATTTCCTAAGGCCAGCCTTGTTTTCAGGCATAGTTGGCCTGCCCTGAGCTCCTCTTGGCCTACTTCTAAGCACTGTGCCTCCCAAGAAACTTGGAGAATTTTTTTGGTAACAAAGCAACCATTTGTCATGCTTCCAGGTGTTTACATGCGTCAGCCCTGAGAGGCGTCTGTGGTAGGAGAAGCATGTGTGGGAGGCTGTGCAGGCCAGCGTGGCTCAGCTTGTGCAGTCTGAGTAGTTCCCATATCCCAGTGGGACTGTGACTGCCCTCCAACTCTCCAGTTACCACAGAGGACACCTCAGACTCGGGGTTCAGAAAGAGTACCCTTCCAGAGCAAATTAATAAAACTGTAATTGCTTTCCAGTTAGACTGTCTGAAATGCCACCAACATAATTTAGAGGACAGTTTGCGAAACCAAACACAGTACTTGGACTCATTCTTTGACCATCGCCGTCTTATTTAAATGTCTCAGTTTGTCCATCCGTGAAATTCATAGACATTGTAGACCTGCGTATGATGTGATAGCATATAAACTGATTAGCTCCTGTTTGGGAAAGAGCCTCAGAATAAGAGTAGTGCTCGTTCTGGGTTAAAGCTGCTGACGTGTGAAATATCAGTAAAATTCTGATCAATTTTAGCCTTGCTGTTGACGAGTGTTTGGAGAGCATTGTGAGATTTCATGGATCACATCCTGCATCTGCCGTATTGTTTTCTAAGGGTCAGACATATGGTATGTAAAGATATTCTGTGGTTATAGCAGAAGACTTCAAAATTAAGTTTCAAAATGTATATTTCTAGAATTGGCTATTTTCATAAAAGAAAGATAGTTCATACCGTCATGTGATTTCTAGCTTTTGGTTTGTATGAAACAATTATTCTCTTTTTATTGTTTTGTAGACTTCTGCCGAGAATCACTTGACAGATGTATAGCAAAAGAATACACTTTGCATATTTAATGTATTGAAAGACATGCCATCCTATCTATTGCTTCAGGGCTCATCACAAAAAAAAAATAAATAAATCTTTATGCTTATATTTAAATTTAAATTTCTTTATTCAGCTAACATGTTCTAGAATCTGTAGGTTCCAGGCATTCTCCTAGATGCTGGTATGTCCGAAATGAGGGGCCTGGCCATGTGCTTCCCTTAAGGAGCTCACAGTTTGGTGAGGAGATGACAACCCATAATACAAGGCCATGTGACAAGTGCTGCTGGAACTGAGGAAAAGCATGTCACTTTGCCTTGGTGGTCGATCAGAAGTGGTCAGAATGGATGAGAATGGTTAGAGTTGGAATTAATAGGAGGAAAAGCAAGGGCCAGACAGTGGTCGGCAGTGATACAGCCGGACTCACATGGGAAAGGTCCTGGGTTCATGTCCTAGGGCACCTCTGGGAACACGAACGCACCCATGATCCAGGCTGGTTGAAATGGGACGGACTGCAGAGTATAGTCCCTGTTGGGCATGTTTGTTTCTGTGACACTCTCTCTCTCTGTATGTGTCTCTGTGCATGTGGGTATGTGATGTCTGATTTGAGTGCCTTAGTAAATGGTGGTGTCATTCAGACAATAAAGGAGAAGGTAGGAAAATGGTGAGCTCAGATTTGGACATGATAGATTTCAGGCACCTGAAGAGTATCCAGGTCAGGAGAACTAGAGGATATAAAGAGAGAACATGGATGGAAAGATATCTGGAGAGAATTCTCAAGTATTTTTTCACTGTTTTTATAATTCAAGAAATATTAGTCAATAATTGAAGCTATGGATTTAGATAAAATATCCTAAATAATATTTACATATGAGAAGAAAAGGGACAGAATGTGGAACTCTGAGTTACTTTTGCCTTGCCATTACAGAGAGGTTCAGAGGAGGAGCCCCAAGACTCACAAAGGTGGGAGGGAACTAATGTCACAGGAACCAAGTAAAGTGAAAGTGTCAAGAAAGAAGACGATCAATAATGTCAAAATGCTGACAAGAAACCAAATAAGGTGAAGACGAGAAGATTCCATAGGATTTGGTCACTGGTGGTCCTGACATATTCATCCCCAGCAAGCTGGGATGGCAGGAATTTGGAGTACGAGTGGGATTAGAAAGGGAAATAGGGAGGAGAGTTTTTATGAAAATTACTGTGAGGAGGAAACAGGATGAGGGAGACTTGTGTGTCTAAGGTGCCTCTAAATCTGTGAAGTGGATTGCTTCCAGCTGAACTGACCAAGAGCAGCAAGGAATGTCCTGCCCCCTCTATGGATATTTAGATAAGGACCAGCTTCAGTGATGCCGATGCAGTGACACAGCAGTAATCCAGCACTGCAGTCCCAGACTCACATGAGAAGGTCCTGGGTTTGTGTCTCAGGATCTCCCTGTGCACACCTTTATACTCTTTAAGCTTGAGGCTGGCATCCGTATCATGAGTGGATCTGACTCAGTGATGTCTAAGATCTGTCCCACCAAATCTAGAGGATCTTTGACCCAGTCTTTAGAGCCGCCCCTTGTTTTACCTTTCTCCATATCTCACACGCTTTGCTTTTCTTCCCACATGTAGAGTTTTTACAATTTACTGCCAGAGATGGAGCCCTAACTAGAACCGACATGGTCAGAGATTGTGGTAGGGAA